ATTTCCAACGGCTAACCCTCGTATCCACTTGGAACCACTTACTTATGAAGATGCATTAACACTTTTCCGTCACTTTGCTCTCGTAAAAGACAATTGCTCGTACATTCCCGACGATCTTGTCCAAGAGGTGCTTTTTCTTTCTCTTTGATACGTGGAAATTATCCCTTTTTCTCTTTCTGCGTTCGATACATAGTTTGTAATGAATTTTAGAAGTCGGCAAGCTAAAGAACATATTTTTGCCCCTGAAAAGCGATAATTTGACTAGAACGCTAGTAGCCCTGCTGACTAAGGTCACAACTCGCAGCCTAAGCCATTATTTTCACTGACTATTTGTTTGCACTGAGATGCAGGCTGTGAGAAGTTGCAAGGGCCTACCTATCGCCATTAAAGTAATCGCTAGATCACTGTGTCAGCAACCTCGTGAAAAGTGTCAAAAGATGGTAAAGGAATGGTCGCAAGGCCATTCTATTCTTGATTCCAATTCAAATCTGGTTCATTTCCTCCAAATAAGCTTGTGTGTTTTGGAAGATGAGCCCATCATCAAGGAGTGCTTCATGGACCCAGGGTTATTTCCCTGAAGACCAAAGAATTCCTGCGACGGCTCTCATTGATATGTGGGCGGAACGGTATAAACTAGATGATAACGGTAAAGAAGCCATGGCCATAGTCGATAAATTAGTCTCCTTGAATTTGGCAAATCTCCTTGTTACAAGGTACATTGACTTCTCTTCTTTTTTCCACGGTTACTTAATGCTTAATTGCTATATGTATTATCGAAGATAGCTGATGCAGCTTCGTATGATCGCGTGAGTACTGTTCTACTGAACATCAAATAAAGAACGTAAGTTGAAAACTTGCGTAATATCAGACGGAGGGCACATGGCTTTTTCTTGTCTGGAATTTTTTCTTAGCTGGGACGCTAAACTCTGCTCGTTTACCAGGAAAGTTGAAAGTGATACGGACAGTTACTACGGCAACCACTTCATCATGCAGCATTTCCTTCTAAGAGATCTTGCAATTCATCAAAGCAACCAAGAACCTGTTGAACGGAGAAGAAGATTGATGGTTGACATAAATGAAAATAATCGACAATGGTGTCTAGAGGAGCAGCAGCGAAGCATTATTGCCCGCATGTTGTCGATATTCCTGAAATGGTACGTTAAACAAAAGCAGCAACCTGCGTTGCGCGGATATTGTCTATATCAACTGGTTAGTTCTATCACTTTTTTGAAAACATATGTTTGCAAATGATTTTGGAGGGGGGGGGGGAAACCAATTAGGAAGTTGCCCAGCACTCTAAATTGACGCCAAAATCGGATTGTTTCAGCAGATGAAGCATTCACTTCAGATTGGAGCAACGCGCAGCTGACTGAAACTGAGGTTCTAATATACATATATTTTTTTTAATGCATTGAGGTTCTAATATTGAATGTTCGTACTAAGCGTTATTCCTCCCAAAAGTTCATTGAGAAAATGAGAAATCTAAAATAAAGGTTCTGATATGCACTAATTATGGTTTTCATGCTTCCGCATGGGAAAACTTTGAGCTACTCGATTCTTTACCTGCCCTGAAAAGAATTAGACTGGAGAAGGTTTCTCTTCCTTCCCTCGGCAAATTGGAGTACCTGCAAAAATTATCCCTTTACATGTGTGATACAAGTCAAGCTTTTGGAAGCTGTAAGATACCAATTTCAGATGCATTGCCGAATCTAGAAGAATTGAACATTGACTATTCCAATGATATGGCGGAATTGCCTTCTGATCTCTGTGATATTAGAACCCTCAGAAAGCTAAGTATTTCCAACTGCCACAAGTTTTCTAATTTGCCCCGAGAAATAGGCAGGCTGCAGAATTTGGAACTACTGAGGCTTAATTCCTGTACTGATTTAGGAGGTATACCAGAATCAATTGGTTGGCTTTCAAGGTTACGTTTTCTTGACATATCAAACTGCATAAGCCTAAGAAATTTACCTGAGAGCATTGTTAAGTTACAAAACATAGAGAAGTTGTACATGACAAGTTGCTCAAGGTGTGAACTGCCAGATTCGGTCAAGAATCTTGAGCATTTAAAAAGTGTAACATGTGATGAGGAGACGGCTGCTTCCTGGGAGGTTTTCAAACTAATGCTTACCGATCTAAGGATTGAGGTGGTACATGTAGATGTCAACTTAAATTGGCTTATTGGGACGGGCTTATAAGCAAGGTCGCCAAGAAGCTGGATCTGGGGATGCGGTGGCGTATGGAGGAGCAGGGGGATGGAGACCGAATGTGAAGATACGAGACGGTCTAGAGATTTAACATCTTCATCTTTGGATCAATTCAATGGTTGGCATTCCAACCGCAACACCTTGTAGTTTTTCTTCCGATGCAGACATACCGAATTCTTTCTCCCTCTGTTAGTTTTCTGCAAATTTGAGAGGAGAGAGACTCTTTCTTTTAAGGGAGGAGGAACTGGAAAGGTTCTGCTTTCACAACAACGCATGAATATTCAGAACAAGAAGCCATGTTCAATGCATGTCAGACACTCGAAAGTCAAATATATGTAGGCACCAGGAATTCAAATTAATCATGTCCTGTGCATATTGATGTACTTTATGGATCCTAAGACAGCTTTCGTGATTGTAATTTAGAATTTGAAATGCTGCTGGCTTCATGCTTGTGTGTGTAATTTGATTTCTCATTTCTTCACTCATATACAGGATGGGTATGGAGTCATAAAAAGGATTTTCTTTTTTTTGGGTGCAATAAAAAGGAATTGAGAGAAAAACATTCGTCCCCTGAAAATTCCGTGCCTTATAGAAATCATTAAGGGCATTAATCTTAATCACACCTCCTGCTTCCTATATTTCGTTGTTTAAAGTCATTATATTGTATTGATTTTAAAAAAAATCATTACTCCTATATTCATATTTTATTTAATATTTTTATTTATTTGATTATCTCGCTAACACACAACATTTTTGCGTATAAAGAATTCGAAGAGGATCCGAAGCTATTTGCGACAATCAACCTTGAATTGCAAAATTAAACAGACAATTTCGATCAACGCCAAGCGCGAGCAGGTAACATTTGGGAATCGTGACACAAACACAAATCCATACTTTCATATCTATATGCGATTTTGAAAAACTGAAGAGGAAGAAACTTGAGTCCCCTCCTCTCCCTCAGAAACCAAATTAACCACAAACGTTCTATGGAGATGGAATATGAATATGGCTTCTTCTTCTTCTTCTCCTTAAAAAAAACTGTTGACAAAGATAAAGAAAGATGGCGAAGATTTGATTACCGAACAAATGAAGCGATAGATCCTTAACAGGGTTAACAATAAAATTCCAAACTATGTTAATCTCCCTTCTCCCATGTAGCGACATCCTCCTAACAGACAGACACAATCGATGACCTTCCATGAATTTAATTTCTCTGAGAAAAACAATTAAGAGTAGGGAGTGGCCTGCCTGAAAAAGCGATTTGAGAGTTTGGGTAAAAGTGGACACAGGCTAATAGTTGCCAAACACTCCTTCCACTGAGTTTTAAACAACATACTAAGATGAGGATTTTCCACCAAATATTTATTTCTTAAAAGGTGAAAACTTTACTTAAGTTGTCCCCTTCAAGGTCGAGCTAGCTATTTCCACATAGATCGAGCTTTTATGTATGCAAAGCTAGACTATGGGCATTGTTAATAGTTCAGGAATAATAAAACTTTCATTGATCGAATTTTCAAAATAAATAAATATCTCCCGGTAAATTACTTTAGAAGGTCACCCCTCAAGCAATCATGGATACACTTCAAGTGAAATAATAAAAAAACAAGGAAATATCTCATTTTAAATGCCAAACAACCCTCCCCTTGAGACGAGGAGCAATTGCTGTTGAATGATATTTGAACATCTGAAACGAAATCAACAAGTGCTTTAAACTAGCCAACAAAGAAGTAGTAACAAACATAAAGCCAATATTTCACCTTTATATAGAACAAAAGCAGCAAAAGTCTAAATTTCATAACTAGAAATAAAATCAGATCATTGTTACTTTAAAAGGCTCTTTTTTATTTTATCTTCTCTTACGTATACATAAATATATATAATCACTTATATATCCTTACATGCAAAGAAAAGACAATTAATTTAGAAAGTATATTAATGCAATCAAATATTAAAAAAAATTAGAATTAATATTACATATAAGGAAACGAGTATTAAAGGCGGATTCAAATTTATACAAGCATTTACTATTTATAACAAAGGACAAAGGATTGATAATTTCAATTGTTAACATTTGGTGACGGCCAGCCGCACATCAAGAAAAAGACATGGAAACGTAATATTCTATGGCTATTACTTTTATGTGAGCAGCAGATCATAGAAGACAGATGATAGATCACTGAAACCCGACAATATCTCAAGTATTTAGTTAATTTAAATAATGTACGGTCAAATCCTATAAATTGTATATTTGTTTTTTTTAAGTGATGCTGACCGGCTAGCCCTTTTTTGGTCTTTAATTATCAAAATGTTCTACTTATAAATGAATAGCATAAAGTTATTGTTATTTATTATACTGAAACTTATTATTACATATTCCTTAGTTGTTATCAGATTTTTAAGTAATTAAATTCTTTCATTAGATTTTTATAGTAATTTCACTGTGTAAAATATATTTATTATATATACTATTTTTTGCCAACTATTACCTATACTGTTATATTTATAATATTATTATAAATAGATAAATTGGTTTTACATTTTTACATTAAATAAAATAAATAAGTATCTCTTTTTTGGTACAAGTATCTCTTTAATTAAGTACCTCTTTTTAAATAAGTATCTCTTAAATATACTTTAAGATGACAAATAATAATATAAATCAAAATTGTAAAATGCCGGTTGCATGCGCGTGTAGAAAAGTCAAACAGTGAGTGGTTAATAAAAGTTATGAAACGCTTCCTTTCGTTAAACTTCTCTTGTTTCCGGCCTTTTCACTTGAATTCCACACCATTCACCAGAGGGTAGTGAGGTGTAGCAGATCAATTCTCTTCTCTCTGCTAAGCTTGAAATCGAGGGAGTCAAATTCTCTGGGCATGGAACTATCCGCGCAACAACAGTACCTTGCGAGCCATTTGTACTGTTAAATAATAAAACGAGGAAAGTTCCTTGCATCTTCCAGGTGGCTTGGCCAAATTCGGTAGAACATAAATAAATTGATCTTCGGCTGAAGTTTAGGAGCCCGTTCTTCTCTCAGAAACATCTGCCCTTGCTCAGAGAGAAAGAGCTGTTGAAGAAGGAAAGCCCACAACAGAGCGAAATTCGGATCAGAGGGAATTCTAAGAAATTTGCTGAGTGCGATGGCAGGTGGGGTGATGGGAGAAGCTGCTTTGGGAGCTCTACTTGAGAAAGGGCTGAGAACCGGGTTGGATTTGGTGGACAAGGCTATCAGCTTCCCATCCAAACGTGAGGACCTCCGAGACACCGTTCAGCGTTTGACTCCGCTGATCCGGCAGATGAAGGCATATGACGAGACATCGGATCGCTCTCTGGATCAAATCGAACGAGTGTTGAGGGAATTTCAAGAGTCAGATAAGCTTGTTCACAAGTACTCCAAAATCCGTTGGTGGAAATCTCTGTCTCTTCCTTTTTACCATGATAGGCTTGAGGAAGAGAACAAAAAGCTTGAGAGGTCCATCACTGTTGATATGCAAGTTTACACGGCGAGAGACGTGAAGGAGATTTTGTCGACCTTGTCGACCTTGAAAGAAATCATGTTGACTCTTGTTAATAACTCTCGTTCTGGGCTAACAAGCAGCGGCACAGTCATTAAGGGCCTGTGCGGGGCTCCTGAGAAGCCAAAGTATACCGTGGGATTGGAAGGGGCCTTGACGAGGTCCAAGAATGAGCTGCTGAACGGTGATGAACCTGTTCTTGTATTGACTGGTTTGCCAGGATCGGGCAAGACAACCATGGCCAAAGAACTTTGCTGGGACCCCGACGTTAAAGGTAACCAGCACCTGAAACATCTACTTCGACTTCTCTTCTTGTTTATGACTTCTATCTTTTATTAATGGGCTAATTCACCACGAGATGACCCAAATTTTACAACGTCTGAATCCATTGCCCTTCAGTTTCAATATTTCCGCTGTACTGAGCGGCTCGTAGTAGAGCTAATGCTTGCTGACACATTTAAAGAATTTCCCTCTATATAATCGTTTGGGAGTTCGTTAACATATGACCAGTAGCTTCCCTGGTTCTTGGACCTTATGCAGTGAAGGAATACGATGGGCGCCTCAGCCTTTGATGAGTAGAAGTCAAACCTTTTATTATCATTTACTCTTGTGTAAATGCAAATTAGTGAAATGACTAACTTATATATGAGCATTCTGCAATGTTAAAAAACATCACATGCTTATTGACTTGCATCTCCTTTTGATTTGAACAGACAAGTTCGGGGAAAACATCTTCTTTGTGATCTTTTCAAAAACGCCCAACTTGAAGAATATTGTGCACACAATATTTGGACACTGTGGGCTCTCAGCGCCTGAGTTTTCGAGCGATGAGGACGCAATTAATCGACTTGGTGTTTTGCTAAGGCAATTCGGGGGAAGGCCGATATTGTTGGTCCTGGATGATGTTTGGCAGGGCTCAGAAACTATTGTTGAGAAATTTAAATTCGACATTTCTAGTTATAAAGTTTTGGTCACTTCAAGAGTTGCATTCCCTAGATTTGCCACTTCATGCCACTTGGAACCACTTGGTCATGATGATGCGATAAGGCTTTTTCATCACTTTTCTCTATTAGATGACAGCTGCTCATACAAACCCGATAAGAAACTTGTCCGCGAGGTGCTTTCTCTTACCTTATGAGGGAATTATTTATATTGTTTGGGTCACATTTCTTGAAAATCATTGCCAGCAACAAGCAGAATATTTTATTTTACTATCTATTTTTCATGTTTGTTCTTTTACATTGGCGTATTAATATATTGTCAATGAATAAATACTGCATGCTTGATATAGCGCCGATACCCTAGAAAACTATGACTAGAATACGTGCAGCCAGGCTTCTTATGACTGATTTTCTTTGCTTGTGCTGGAACTCAGGTAGTAAGAGGTTGCAAGGGTTCACCATTGGCAATTGAAGTTATTGGCGGATTGCTCTGTAAGCAGCCCTTTGAGGTGTGGCAACAAATGAAGGAGCTTTTGCTAAGCCAGTCTATATTTAATTCTAATACTGACTTGCTCCATCGCCTCCAAACTAGCTTGGAAGTAATGGGAGATAAGTTCCCCATCAAGAAGGAGTGCTTTATGGAGTGCTTTATGGACCTAGGCTTATTTCCTGAAGACAAAATGATCCCTGTTGATGCCCTCATTGACATGTGGGCGGAAAAGTATAACCTAGATGAGGGTGGCATAGAAGCAATGGCCACGATCCATGAATTAACCAACAGTAATCTGGCCAAGACTGTCATTAGAAGGTACACAGCTTATTTTTTCTTGGTGACCATTTAATGCTTCATCGTAATAGTAGATAGCTGAAATATTTTATACGATGACTTTAGTCTTTCAAGGTAAAACAAAGTTGAAAATTAACTTACACTTGCCTCAATCATTTGTCATATTAGGCTCTGGTTTCCCCTTGGGTAATTAATGTCTGCTTAATTATCAGGAAAGTAGCAAGGGACACAGACAAGTACTACAATAATCACTTTGTCATGCTGCATGATCTTCTCAGAGAGCTAGCCATTCATCAAAGCAGCCTAGAACCCTTTGAAGAGAGGAAAAGGTTAATTATTGACTTGGGTGAAAACAATCATCCCAAATGGTGGCCAGAACAGAAGCAGCAAGGGTTCATTGCCCGCATCTCCTCATTATTATTCGGATGGTGGATGGAACAGAAGCAGCAGCAAGTTACTGCCCACTCATTATCTATATATGCAGGTCTGTCTCTCCCTCCCTCCCTCTGCGTGTATGGAAATAATATTGAGTGCACATTCAGGAAACGAAAATTTCTTATGAGATTTTGGTCCCCTGCCAATGCTTGCCATTCATCCTCTTCCATACCTGATGCTGCATATGCTTTTGCAGATGACACGTCTACTGCAGAATGGTGCAACATAGAATCTGATGAAACCAAGGTTTTGATTTTAAATCTTCAAAGTGGCAATTACGCGATACCAAATTTCGTGAAGCAATTGAGAAAACTCAAGGTTCTGGTAGTCACGAATTATGGTTTCCATATTTCCAAATTAAACAAATTTGAGTTGCTTGGTTCTCTATCTGACCTGAAAAGAATTAGATTGGAGAAGATTACAGTACCTTCCCTGTGCAAATTGATGAATCTGCAAAAATTATCGCTTCATATGTGTACTACATGGCCAGCTTTTGAAAGTTGTTCCATGGACATTTCAGAGGCGCTGCCAAATCTAGTGGAGTTGAATATTGATTACTGTAAAGATCTGGTGAAATTGCCTGTTGATATTTGCAAAATTAACCCCTTGAAGAAACTTAGTATCACTAATTGTCACAAGTTTTCTGAACTGCCAAAAGAAATAGGAAGCCTGGAGAATCTGGAAGTGCTAAGGCCCAGTTCCTGTTCTAATTTGGAAGAGATGCCAGCCTCCATCAAAAGGCTCCAGAAGCTAAGCCATCTTGACATCTCAGACTGCATAAGCCTTAAGCAACTACCTGAGGAGTTTGGGTACTTAGGCAATCTAGAAAAGCTCTACATGAGGGGTTGCTCAAGATGTGAATTGCCAGTCTCAGTCATGAATCTCCAGCGTTTAACGCTTGTGATATGTGATGAAGACACAGCTGCATCCTGGGAACCTTTCAAGCCTCATCTTCCCCATCTTACTATAGAGCAGCCCAAAGCAGATATTAACTTGGATTGGCTTCAAGGAGCTTAAAAATGCAGCTCTCTTTTGATGACATCGCAGTACACCAGACGACATCACTTTGTCTAGTGGTCAGGTCATTCCTGCGATAAACGTGTGGTGGTTCAAGGAACAAAAGGGAAATTCCATCTTGAAAGCGGGAGGAAAATTCATGTATCAGGATTTAAATCTGAGATTTGTACAAAAATAAATGTTCAATATTTCTTTAACCGTTGAGATGTATTTGTATAATACGCCAATTCGATCATAGCGCAACAGTTCTGATCATGGACTCCTAGAGAGTTTGTGGTACATCATGCTTACTCCGAACTTTAATATGATATCTTATTTGATTTTTATTTTGATCTTAAATATAAGATTTCAGTATATTTTGTTCTTTATATTTATATATTTTTTAAGGTAATCTTTCTAATAATAATAATTCTAACCAATACACTTGATTAGTAAGGATATTTTAAAAAAATAATCTATTTATCAAGAATAACTAATTTAATTTATTTTTTTAATCTCTGTAAATTAATCAATTAATTTTGCAGAACAAGTGGGGAATGAAATGAGAGTATGCGGGAAATGTATGAAAATTTTCTGACGCAGCCGAGATGTCTTCGTAAATATATATAATGGGAAAAACCGGGATGTCTTCGTAAATAGACCGTCATCATAATATTTCGCCCAGTCTGTCTAGTAATATAATGACGCGTGTCCCTTTCCTTACCCTCAAAGTTACCTTTGCCCACCCTGTTTTCCCAAAAAAACCTCCCCATAAGGGGACCCTTTGTTTGACTTTTTGATTTTTGAGGCGGCTCCGACTTCTTTTTGCGTCTAATAGTATCGAAACAAAATGGGGCTGGGGGTGTTTGAGAATGCCAAAATGTTCTTAACTGAGACAATCTTTTCACATGTTTACTTGTATATGATAAAATTATTTTTAAAATTATAATTTAGTTTTATCTAAACATTCTCTTAGATAAATAAAGCTACCTGGTCTTTTAAATTCAATTTGTTTTTAAATATAAAATTTTAATATCTTTTATTTTTTATATTTATTTATTTTTTAAGTAGTTTTTGTAGATATTACATATGTTAAACATTTATTAAATGATAGTTCTAATTAATATATATTATTAGTAAAAGTATTTTAAAAAAATAGTACTAATTTATTATAAATAACTAATTTAATAAATTTTTTTAATCTAATTAAATTTAGTAAACTAATTCTTATATCAAGAATTAGACGAAGTACTTCTAACTTTGGAATCACATGTTTTGCCCACAAATTATTAGCCGCATCAAAGAAAATTATTAAAATGCTTAAATTATACGTATTTTTCATCAGAAAACAATTAATCAACGAGAAAATTTGTGCACTAGCTAGATTAAAAAAAATTGTGAGATAAAGCAATAATGGAACGCAGGCCAATTATGTTAATCTTTTTATTATAGTAATCATTCCAATTGCGTTCCTGAAGCCCCAAACTTTTGGTCTTGGGCATACACTGGAGCCCCCAAGCGTCAAGTGAGGAAGGCATCAGATGATTGATTGTTTGGGGCGGAAGAATCATTCATCCCGCTGCTTTGTTTCTTTTTTTTTTAATTAGATTAATCTGTATTTAGTATTTTAAAATATTTTCTTGAGTACATTTAGCATCCTAAATTATTCTATGATGCATTTAGTATTTTAAAGTATTGTTTTAAATATTTTCAGTACCTTAAAGTATTTTTTAGTGTATCTAATATTTTAAAATATTTTTTATACACTTTAGTTTTTTTTGTGCGTCCATAGCAAGGCAAAAAAAATATTTCGGACAGTGTTAGATATTTTTAAAAAATATTTTAAAATATTAGATATATCATAAAATATTTTGAGGCATTGAATGCAACTTAACTTTTTAAATTATTATTATTAATCTGTCATTTTGTTTATCCAACGAACAAAAGAAATCGGTTATGACTTCTTCACCGTTTATGCATAGATTCTTGGGACAATAATTAACTACTACTATATTTTGATTCTTAATATAAAAACTAGTTTGATATTTAATTTAGTTTTAAAAATAAGACTCTTACTTATTTTGTTTTTTATGTGTATTTATTTTTATCAAGGTAATCTCTATAGTAGTTGAATATGTTAAAAATTTTAATAGTTTTAACTAATACATATAATTAGTAAGAATTTTGTGAAAAAAATAATACTTATTTATTATAAATAATTAATTTAACTAATTTTTTTAACTTATTTAAATTAGTGAATCAATTTTTATAAAGCAGTGAAAGCAATAATTGTTTCCAACGATAACACGCCGGTAAGTATTGGAATGCAGTCCGGCCTTTTGGCGGGTATTTTTCCCCCATTTCAAACTCAGACACTAGAGAAGCGTATATTAAGCGATCATCCACTTGAGCAACCCTTTTTTCTATTAACTAACCACTGTATGTATTAGTAATCTATTCTATTATTGTAGTAACCTAGTAATTGTAATGTAATTGTTTTCAGTTTCGTGATTAGATTAACATGAGAATATACTCAAATGAAAAACGATCGCATATGCAGCGGGAAGTCAAAGTCACTGGAGCCAGAACTGGGCGAAGCCATCCACGGCAGCAGAGGAAGTACCCAGGAGGCAAACCCAAGGAAGTTTCAATGTTCACACTCTGAACTTGAAGCGAAATTCGAAAGGAAGCTTCGATGGCGTTATAAAAGACTCCGATCACTAATCACTCACTAAGAAAAGAGAAAGCGAAATAGCTAAACCAGATATTCCCTTTGCCGCCGCCGCGGCGCACCACCTGCTCTGCTCTTCAAATTGAAACCTGTGATTCTGGGGAGTGGACTGTGAACTTCGGAGTTATGGCAGTTGGGGTGGGAGAATCGGCCCTTGGAGCTGTATTTCAGGAGGCGCTTAGAGGGATTTACAACATTATCAATATGGGTCGAAAGTACCCCAGCACCCTCCAAACCAACATATCAACGTTGGAGGCTTTGCGTCCTCGGGTAAATGACATAGTACGATACAACCAAGAATTGGATCGCCCAAGAGCAGAGGTGGAGACGCTGGCTAGAGAAATGCGAGCTGCGGAGGAGCTTGTTCGCAGGTACTCCAATAAATCTCTTTGGAACTTTCTGTGTTTTCCTTATTACCAGAAGAAGCTTCAAGCAGGGGATGAATCATTGAGGAGGACATTAAGCGTTGACGTGCAAGCTCAGATGGCAAGGGATTTGAAGGAGATCTTAAAGAAGATAACAGACCTTGTTATGAGCGCCTCTGAGCAATTTGGGCCCGCAAACTCTGGTTTGGGTACAGCTCTGTATGGTACTCCTGAAAACCCAGATTTCACTGTCGGATTGGACAAGCTTTTGAACCAATTGAAGTTCGACCTGCTCAAGGGTAGTGAGCTCTTCTTAAACTTGACTGGCTTTGGAGGATCTGGAAAAACCACTCTGGCTAAAAAGCTCTGTTGGGATCCTGAGGTTTTAGGTACGTAAGCTTCCTTATTTCCTCTCATCACTTTTAAATATTATTGGATTTACAAATCCCCTTACGTTGGTATTCTGATTAGGTAAATTCAAGAAAAATATCTTCTTTGCAACCTTCTCAAAAACGCCCAACTTGAAGATCATTGTAGAGAAACTATTTGAACACTTTGGGCAACCCAAGCCTGAATTTCAAAGCAATGAAGATCCAGGTTACAAATTGAGAAATCTGCTTAAACAAGTTGGTGGGAGTCCAATAATATTGGTCCTGGATGACGTCTGGCCTGGATCAGAATGCCTTGTCGAGAAGTTTAAGGTTCCACTTTCAGACTTCAAAATTTTGGTGACTTCAAGAGTCGAACTTGATTGGGAGGGCTGCATTTCACACCGCTTGGGAAAACTTTCTCACGAGGATTCGATGACCCTTTTCCGTCACTATGCTAAGCTGAACGACGCATGCCCTCGGAATGATCTTGCTGACCAGGTTCTTCCTCTTTTTCGTCTCTAAAATCATAACCAGAAAAAACCAGTCTATTCGATTCAGAGTCGCTGATCTTGTATTATCTGCTTTCACTGAGATGCAGGCAGTCAGATGTTGTGGGGGTCTGCCGTTGTCCCTTCAAATTATTGGAAGCAAACTTCGTGGGAAGCCAATTGAGTTCTGGCAAATCATGGTAAAGAAATTGTCGCAACGTGGCGGTTCTCTTCTTGATTCAGATGATGAGGTGCTTGCTTTCCTCCAGAAATGCTTGGATGTTTTGGAGGATAAGTCCATTGTCAAGGAATGCTTCATGGACTTAGGCCTGTTTCCTGAAGATCAGATGATCCCCGTTTCTGCCCTCTTTGATATATGGACAGAACTGCATAGCCTAGATGAAGAGTTCTATGCAATGCCATATATCTACGATTTAACTTCCAGGAATCTTTCCAATGTCGTAGTTACCAGGTACCATGGCTTTTTCTTATCCCTTGAATACGCCATCCATATATGTTCATAGCCAGCCAATATATCTTCTACTTGAATTTTAAACTTGCTTGTGTTTAAGCGTTGATAGGTTTGGACAACTTACACAAGTTCTTGCATTTAATCTCTCTTTTATTTATTTATTTATTTATTTATTTATTTTTAATTAGGGCGGTAGTGATTTGGTTCTCTTCTGGTAAATCAAATTAATACATGATGCTTTGACCAGGAAAGTGGCGAATGAAGCAGACAACTACTACAATAACCACTTCCTGATGCAGCATGATCTTCTCAGAGATCTAGCTGTTCATCTGAGCAGCGAGAAGCCATTGGAACAGAGGGAAAACCTGATTATTGACTTGAATAAAAATAATAATCCTGAATTGTGGTCAGAACCAAAGAAGGGAGGCGTCATTCCTGGCATATCTCAACAATTGTCTATTATGCTGAAGCAAAAACAAGTCGCTGCCCGCTCAGTCTCTATATCATCCGGTTTGATCTCCCTCTATACAAGCAGAGTCACTTGTTTTTTATGAGAAATTCTTAGATACACTTCACGTGACGCAAATAGTCATTTAAAACTCACTAAAGTGGGTGTTGCAAGTGTTGAGGTCCACTAACAGTCTAGCACCCACTTTGATGGGTTATTATTGGCACCTCGAGCCATGTGACTGTCTAAGAAGTGTACCTGAGGAAAAATAACAGTACTTGAGATTTTTATTCTTTATATAACAAAAATGCTTTAGATGAAAGTTCCATTTCATTAATGGCCTTGCCGTCTTGCGCAGGTGAAGCCTTCACTTCAAAATGGTGGAGCATGAAACCATATAGAGCGGAGGTTCTAGTGCTAAATATTGGGGGTAACGATTACACCTTACCAGGTTTTATCAAGTATATGAGGAAACTCAAAGTTCTAATTCTCATAAACTATAGCTTCCATCCTTCTCAACTACAAAGTTTTGAGCTACTTGGTTCTCTATCCAACCTAAAGAGAATACGCCTGCAGAGAGTTTCCGTCCCTTCCCTTTGCAAATTTAAGAACCTTAGAAAATTATCCCTTTACATGTGTAGTACGAGTCAGGCTTTTAGAAGCGATGCCAGTGTTAGGGATGCACTGCCAAATCTAGTGGATATGAGCATTGACTATTGCAAAGATTTCAAGGCACTGCCTGTTGGATTCTGTGACATTATTTCCTTAGAAAAGCTAAGCATCACCAACTGTCATAGTTTCTGCGGGCTGCCCCATGATATAGGAAAGCTAGGGAAATTGCAAGTGCTGAGGCTTAATAACTGTACTGATTTGGTAGACATTCCCGATTCAATCAAAATGCTTCAAAAGCTTAGCCTTCTTGATATGTCGTACTGCATAAACCTGCGAAGATTACCGGCGGACATTGGTGATTTGAGTAATCTATCAAAGCTCTACATGATGGGTTGTTCAAGGTTGTCTGAGTTGCCGGCCTCTGTCACCAAACTTGAGAAGCTGGAGAAGGTTATATGCGATGAAGAAATAGCCATCTCATGGGGAGAACATTTCGATCCCTCAGCTCGCGCACCGAGCATAGAGACGACCAGAAATGATAGTCATTTTAACTTAAATTGGCTTTTTGGTCAATTAAGAAACTTGAATTAGCTTTCATGGAGCTCCCTCCCTCCTGCCGATCCTTTAAACGGCTTTAGTACTCCACTCATGATGAATCGATACTCTTCCCGCAGCATCCCTCCCGTTTCGCTTTTATTTTCTGATTACTCATTGTCTTGTACAAAGCCGGATTTATTGTTTGTTCATAAAACATCAGATAATAAAATTATGTGACCAATTGGCATGATATTTTTTGAGAGATTCTTGCGTTCTCTAATAATTTGACTGGCAATATTAAGACTAGGCATATATCAAAAGAAGAGGTCACAAAATAATAGTAGCTTATGAAAATATGACATGACTAAAATTACATTCGTTCTACAACCTACAGCAGAATTCCTTACAAAAGTCCATTTATATTTTAGAGTTAAACGAATTCTTTCAAAATCCATGGGCGCAACAACCACTAGTAAGCGAGAATAAAGCACATGAAATCAGAGGTGAATCAAAGCAAAACGGGCCGACAAGCATAGATAAGCTGCGATGAAGAATACATTCATAGTCGAAGGGAACTCTTTACATGCAGGGCATAGCATCGACAGAGCTTAGAAATGTTTTATAGAGACTGTTCACATGGGTGTATAGATACATAAATAGTAGCATATGAGGCAAGTATCGAAGAGAAACGGGAGATAAAAGGTCGATAACATTTCTTCCCCTGACCACCAACTCTTCTCACCCCTAGGAAACAAGTTACTCTTCCAAGTTCCGAGTGACATTGATAGATATTACACACATCGCCAACAACGAGGCGCACACAAACATTCAATATTCCTATGCGTATTAACCATTCTACTCTATGGGAAAATGCTTTCATCACATAGTTCTTTCCAGACATTGACGAGCCCATGAGCACAACATGCCATGCCATCATCATCTCGATGCTCTCACCTTTTAGCAGGTGAATTAAAATCACATGGCATAGACTATCTCCCCACTACTCTCAATATCAAGCTCAGAGTCCGACTCTAATTCATCCATGCCATCATCTCCCTCAAAGTCTGCCATAAACTGATCCAAAGAACGGGTCCCAGCTGGTGGTATAGTAGCTTCTGAAATTATCTGCATGATCACGTCAATGCTCTGCATTGGTTGGTCTGACTCTTCAAATTGGTTTCCCAGTATCTTCTCATCCATTAGGTCCGCGGGGAGATTCCTCAAAAACCATTCGTGGTTCAAGATTTCAGGAATGGTGATTCTCTGTCATATACCAAAAGCATAAGGTGCAAATCAATAATTAAACTAACAAGGCAGAATGCAGAAGTTATATTTCTATCTGCTACAATCAAGAGGTCAAACTCATGATAAGCATTCAATTTTCTTGGGTGATTATTTATAATCACATTTTACTATCTCCCTCAAATAACAAATGAGGCTAACCAACCAAAGTCCTAGTAAAAGTATAACATCAAGAAATTCTCATTAACGAAGGCACGTGGTTAAACAATAGATCATAACAGTAGCTAGCGTTTACAAAATGAGCATTTAAGAGCAACAAGAAATGGTGGCATACTGTGTCCAATGAAACATTTTCCCAAGAGGATTGACAAGGGGGGAAAAAGAAAGAAAAACAGAGAGCGAGAGACAGAAAACCCACTCGTCATTCTAAAAGTTCATACATCATGCTCAACATGAGCAACAGCGCAAACATGGTGAAGCAGAGCTCAATATGATAGCAGATACGAAGCATCTAAATAGCAAGATTTCTCATGGAAAAAGGAAACAAAAACGTCGCTTGAGCACCAACAAGTTCAAATAGATTGCCAGAAGAAAAGACCTACAGTTAAAAAGAAGTTCAAGTCCATATAAAAAGAATCTACATGACAAATTCCTCAGAGAATGCGAAGAGGCCATCAAATTACTTAGATGTAGAACTAGATCACTTCTTGGAAAATAAACACTAACCTCTGCAGGATCAAAAACAAATATCCTAGAGATAAGGTCGCGGCAATCAGGTGATATTTGGACGAAGTCTGGAATGAAGTACTGGATACTCAAAATTCTCTGCAATGATACAAACATAACTAGTTGTAACTCAAGCAACCTACCACTACTCACAAAGAAACATGCAATCATCTAAATGTCCAGTCTACCTGTATGGTCCTTCGAAAATCCTTTGGTTCATTAGGATCTTCAAAAGGATATGATCCTACCAGCATCACATATAAGGTCACTCCACAAGACCAGACATCTGCAATCTGATATCAAATGCATGGCAACACAATAGCAACCCATTAATTATAAAAAACAAACACTATTGACGTTACAAAGAAAATTAAATGTCTGATCAAAGTCACATCCAATTCACACTTTGGCTTACCTGTACATGATACAGACCAAATCACACAAGCAAGAAAGAATAGACCTTAACAAGAAAGCCTTGACCTTTGTTTCATCATGGCCCACACAAAAATGACCGCTGGATATAGTACGAATAGCCATAACTAATAACGGAAGTTGGTCTAAAATCACCACAAGTCAATAACTAGCCAGACCAAAATAGTGACAGGACTACTTCGATGTAGATAGAACAAGAAAATCATCCTAGAGTTTAGCCTACCTTGCCATCATACTCTTGCCTCAGCAATACTTCTGGAGCAATATATGCAGGAGTTCCCACAGTTGACCTCGGTTGTGAATGAAGCACTGATGACTGTCAATAACAACATCTACTAGGCTAGTAAGTTATAGATAGATCCAAAAACCTCAACTCAACAGTAGGATAGTGTTCATTATCTACACTAGTAGAAAACCCAAAGTAGATAAAGAGCGTATTTTTGGTGCCTCCGAAACATAAGGATGTTGAAGTTATAAACAAAGAGGACCCAAACGAAAAAAATTCAAGGACCTCAAGGTGCCAATGCATGTGCATTGCAAGCTCCATCTCAATTCCAATGGACCTTAGAACACAAGACAACAAAACTTTAAAGACCTATGTGACGCTAGCAGTATTTTGGAGGCATCGATTCGAAAAATGCTAGTACAGGTAGAAGGAAAATGCACTAACATTGATAATGAGCAGAGACAAATGTATTCTTAAACAAACTGAGAAAAATGCATTACTTGAAAGAGAGAAATATTCAACCGAAAATTACCCAGTAAAATATAAAGGGACATAAATATATTCTTACCTTGGAGTAACCAAAATCACATATCTTCAAACGAGGTGCTACGCTTCCATCTAATAATGTGTTTTCCAGCTTCAGGTCCCGATGACATACTTGCTTCATGCAGAGACATAAAACAAAGAAGACCAATCCATTAAAGTTTTGTATATATCATTCTTGTGGGGGTCAAATACAATTTTAAGCTGAAATGAATGAATGGAGATGAGGAATTTAATTACCATCGCATGGCAATAACTGACCCCACAAATGAGTTGTTGAAAGAAGAAACGAGCCTGGTTCATAAACATTGGTCAACAAGGTAGAAACATAGCATATCAAAAGAAGGAATTTGTTCAACAATGAATGAAAGAAGTAGGGGGAAAGAAATTGAATAAAAACCTCATCCTCAGAAAAGCGCCCTGCCTTGCAGATTCGCTCAAAGAGTTCACCTCCAGATGCATATTCCATAACAATGGCCAAATGAGTAGGCGTTAAAATGATCTGGGTGAAATTTTGTAGAACGTTTAGTCGATTGAAACTAACTCTACTCTGAACAGATGTTGGCATAGATTTGTACTAACCTCCTTGAACCTAACAATATTAGGGTGTCTCAAAGACCTGTGATTGATGATTTCCCTCTTTACATTTTCATCTATCTGTGATTCACATAAATGATTTTAAAAAGATCAGCTGACCACTCTATCGGTCAGAAGTAGAAGTTCAACTCAAAAAGAAAAGAAAGAAAGAAAGGCTGACAACCAATTTTGCATGACAAAGGTCAACTTTCAAAGCTTTAAAGTTGAACAACAAAAATATTCTTTGTTTCACATTTCCATGTTGAATGTTTGAAGCTTAAGTCCACCAAAATCACAAGCTTCATAATTGCCAGTCCAGCGATTTTTGGCAAATGACATATTTTTCATCAACAGCATTCCACCATCTGTTAAACCTCTTACATCAAATCAAAGATTTTCCTCATCCAAGTAAGTTCTTTATCAGAAAGGTGCTATACTATAACAGGCCAATTTGCTCTTCATACCCACAGGTTCGTCTGATAAAAAGGGTAAAAGGTGAATTTGAGTGTCACGACAATGGCAATTTTATTTCTTCGGTGAATTAAATAAAAACGGAACAGTGAATTTAACTCCCTTGTCTTTTTCTTGATTCCTCAAACGGAAACAATTATTCAATACCACGATATGCAATAATTAACCTGCATCATGTTCTAGTTAATCTTAGAAAGAAAAAAAAATTTCCATATCCAGCTATTTTCTACCCGACAGAAGTCATCAGTACTATGGAAATAAATAGTGAAAAGGGGAGAAGGAAAAGGCGAGGGAAAAAAAGTAACTAGTCATTAATATCGTAACTACTCCAGAACTGAACCAAAAACAAAAATCCGAACACACCTTATAAGTAGGAAGTAGTAACGCACGACACCATAAAAGCACTAGCCAACAACTCGCTAATGACTAAACAATCACTTGACAGAAAGAAGCGAGCACGCTTTCATCTTTACAGTTAATTCTTTCGTTCAAAAAAAGAAAAGACGAGAACACGGTGTAACGTTTCCGGGTCGAACCTTATCCCCGCGCTCGATATACTTCACGGCGACAAGCTCTTTGGTTTGCTTGTCTCTCATCAGCCTGGCCACCCCGAAATTCCCGGACCCAATCTCTTGGACGAAATCGTACCGGTCGCTATCGTGCATGATTGGCATGTCCATGGTTGGTCCCAAGGTTATCGGCGACGGATCCATTGAGAAAAACCGTTACCGTGCAACAAAAAGAAAAGCCAAGTCACATTAGAAGCACGATGTCAGTACAGTAGTTGCTGGTTCCAATGTAGAGAAGATAAACAACAGGACGACGATCGACGATTAATCGGTTGGACAAAATCGTTCAGGAATCGGACTTGTGGAACTTGACCAGGTGCTGAGAAAGGCTTTAAGTTGATGGGAGCGGCTTTCCTCCTTTGCCTTTATGAGTTGATAAGAAGGACAGAAGTGGAGACTTTGTGAAGTGGGAATCGTGGAAATTGGCAGGCGAATGCCGGAGGGACGTAATATCGCAAAAGAAAAACAAAAAAAGTGGGTGGGTCAGTGGGTGGGTGATCGCCTGCTTCTGACAGAAACCGGAGGAAAGAGGGGCAAACGGCACCGTTTCAGCGTGTTTAGGTTCAAGATGACGCCGGCTGCGCTTGTTGCCCGGCGAGCAACATTGCAACCTTTCTCTTTGCCTCCATTTTTCAATTCGTCCCTTCTTTTTGTTATGAATATCCTCTTCTTCCTCTTCCTCTTCCTCTCACTCTCAACTTCATCCTCATCGTCCACTAATCTTCCACAACTATGTTATTTTTCCAGTGTGCTTTTAATCTCGTAACTCTCCTCACATGTTCATATGGTTTATTTTCTATTGTCTATTATTTAAATACCAATATAACTTATGTATAAAATTATATCTATAAATAAGTTATGACATTGTATTGTGATGCAAGTAAAGTAAGTGAAGGAATACAATATCATTCTCTCATTTTCTTATCTGTTTTTTTTTGTAATATACTTGTTAGTTAATTTCATAACTTTTTTTTCCCTAAATTTTTACTAAAAACGTTTGCTTGTTAAATGGCTTCTGCGTCACTGTCAACTGTCAGTGTCATCCCCTTGAGCTTGGGCTTCTTTGGGCTTTGGCAAAGTCGGCCGGACGACGCCTCTTGATTGGATAGATTTTGGTGGCTTCTCGCTGCGTTCCCGTGCGGCGCATCAGAATCATTTCCCTGTGCCTCTCCCCGCGCTGCTCGTTAGATCTGACGGTTCAGGCGACGAGAATACGAATCCAGTCCAAATTGGATGTACTTTTGGGCGGCCACTTTGGAGACCTGTTGATCAGGTGGGCATAGATTCTCCACCATTTTCCTTCAAAACAAAGTAGAAACTTTAATTAGAGTGGAACATTGGAGGAAATAAAATATATAACTATTATCACTTATTTGATATCAAAATTTGATTTCATTTTAATTTTAGTTTGTGAAATTTGAAATCAATAATTTTGGTCCTTCAAATTTGATTTCATTTTAGTTTTGTTCTTTGAAATTTAATCTTATTTACAGTGATCAAAAGTCTTAACCCACACCAAAATAAAGTTAAATTTTAGACACCAAAATCAATGGTTTAAAATTCCATAGACCAAAACCAAAGCAAGGTCATATTTCATAAAGTGAAAAATGGTATTAACCTTTATTCTTATTATATTTTTAGCAAATATACAAAAAAATTTATTTGCATGTTTATTTTGTATATTTAATTCATACTGTTTTATGAAACGGAAATACCTTTTATATATTTTGTTATGTATAAATATATATACATGGATATTCTTCATGATAAATTGTTATTATGAGTATTATTCCCTTTTCAAATGATTCTCCAGTTGCTTGCTCTTTTCTGAAGGGTGATAAAGGTTCCAAGCATGCCACAGTGGTTACACCTTAAAGAGAAGAATGAAGGGAGGGAACATGAATTAACAAGAGTTACAACCCACAATAACACATACGGCCATTACAAAATAGGAGAGCTGGGATAGTCGCATGATGCCTGAATCGCTAGAATGCTCAAAAATTTGCATGGAACACACACGTGTTCCTTTTCGAGCCATTCATTATTTTTAGTCTTAAGAGTTTCTGAATTAGGAATCTTTCGGATGAATATCACAGGTGAAAGGATCACAAAAAATGTCACCAAGGTCACAAACGAAACTAAAATGAAAGTTCTTAACAAAAAAATTTGAAAGTTTCCCCCACGTCAAGGGATCAAAAATATGTTTTTACCATTTGCTTTTCGATCTTACTATATGGAATATATTTTTAAGTTCTTTTGTCATCCACAAAAAAATTCCCTAACCTATTATTCATCGGACTTAAGATCCCATCAAAACAAAAGTTAAGCTTGAAATTAAAAAAATAAAACTCTTTGAAAAACTCATCAGCTAGTTATCCCAGTAACAATGTTACCCATCACGCTCGAATGAGATCTCGGATCTAAATCTGACGTTAACACATTTGTTTGTGTGCGAGCATTTCATTGTACTACATAAATAAAAAAAGTATAGGAGCTGAGTGAGGATTTTTATATTTTGCAAAAAGGGAAATCTCTAGCGTTTTTTTTTTTTTAAATGTTCCTTTTGAAAAACTGTTGCTGACATGGCTGCGTTCAAGCACGTATGTGTAATATATGAGAGTTAAGTTGGTGGAGCTACAGAGATTAGAAGAAAGGTATAATTTGCAGTTTCAAGGAAAACCGAGTGACTGTGTGTACAGGTCTGTGAAGAAGAAAGAGAAGTCAGGCAAGCGAGAACTGCCTGGTTTTTGAGCCATAAAAAAGCAAGCAACAAGACAATGCCTCTCATATCTTTCTCTAAGAATGATGTACTCGTGAAACATATACCATCAATATGGAGATTAACAAAAAAAGAATAGGCTAAAGCCAAGTTAAAGCAATCAAGAAGAAAGACAGAACTTTAAGGTCCTGTTCGATATGAAGCATCAAAAATATAACGTAAGAATCAGAATTGGAATTAAAAAAAATATATTAAAAAATTGCTTAGCATAAAAAATTATATATTAATAGGATTAAACAAACCCACTTATATGGGATTAGAGAATACCATGGGAAAATATGATATTCTCTAATCCAACCTTCATGAGTTTACTTAATTCCATATAACAAGTAATTATTTATACTAAATATTTTTTTAATTGTAATCCCAATTCGTATTCTTTATTTTTAATTATTCATGCCAAACGAACCTAAAAATGCAGAGGGACGTGAACACCAGACCGACAGCAATAAAACACATAACAAAATAATAGCGTAAATCTGGGCCCTGAATAAACTCATCCTCATGATCCACTAACTCGGCCCACCCACGCCCAATCACAGATGAATTGCTTATTGTGTTTATATTATAGGGGAAATTGCAAAAAAAGACCTTAGAATTGCAAAAACGCAGATAGGGACCATTGACAACTTCACTTTGGGTTTTGACAACTTCAGGGCATATTATTCTTGTCAAAACCCAAAGTGAAGTTGTCAATGGTCCCTATCTGCGTTTTTGCAATTCCAAGGTCTTTTTTTGCAATTTTCCCTATATTATACCCCCAAAAGAAACATTTGAACTAAAACTCATGTCTGTAGCTAATAATTTATCAAATACCAGAGGATTATTCAGTTGTTCCACATGCATTATCTTATCTATAGATTGAGAACCAGAGTTTAACATATAGCGGAAGATTTGAAACCCCACTCCACCTAGGCCCCACCGAAATATATATACTCTTCTTATCCTTAATATATGATCTAATGTTGAGTTAATTTTGGTTCTAAATATAAGACGCATTTCTCATATTTATCAATTTTCTCTAAATTATCAAATACAAGAAGGAGAGGGAGTATTAAGAAAGATGATTATGATGTTTTAGGAAAAATGTGTCACAGTTCTTATAATTAACTAATTTACCTAACTTTCGTAATCTAATCAAATTAGTTAAATAGATCTTATATTAAGAACCGGAGGAGTATATATACATGTAAAAAAAGCGAACTAGTTAAAAAAATCTGCGATATGCAAGATTTTGAAATTATCAATATGAAATAAGATCCCAATATAGCAAAGATTACAAGAGGTATTAATGAAGACGTGAAAAAATTGCGACATAAACAACTGAAAATAAAGTCAGAATGAATCACGAATCTGAAATTCGACATTTTTCTTTAAAAAAAAAATGAAGAAGAAGAAAGGAAAAAGGGCAAGAACCCGTAAACTGGAAACCGCAGGCGAGGCAGATACGCAATTAGAGAAAAGCGACGGGGCAAATGTGCGGATAAATTGTCTTTCGTTGGAAAGCTCTATTAAAGAGGCACGTGAGAGGAAGGCAGGCCCGCGCAGTGGCATCGTTAACGAGTAACGAGAAAGAGGGCAGAGGCGCAGATAGAGGGAGAGAGGATTTTCATTTATTTCCTTTCGTGTCGCCCCCCTTCGCCCTCCCAATCTTCATATACATTTCTGTTCGTCTCCGAAATCGTCTCTGGTCCCTTTCCCTTTGTCCACTAACTTCAACCTCAGTCGCACCCTCCCCTAGCTGAAGGCTTTTCCCCCTCCCAATGGTATCCGAATCGGAGCTCATCGGTCGGCTCCGGGAGTTTCTTCGCTGCTCCGACCTCAACACTACCACCACTGCTACGGTCCGCCGCCAGTTGGAGAAGGATTTTGGAATCGATTTATCGGATAGGAAGGCGTTTATTAGGGAGCAGGTCGACTTGTTCCTTCAAAGCGAGCGCGAGCAACCCGAGGAACCTGAAGAACCGGAAGATGAAGAAGATCAAAAAGACGGGCCTCAACCGGAGCATGAATCAGAAGAAAGAGAAGATTCGAATGATGAAATGCAAGACGATGAAGAAGGAGATGAACATAAAGTAAAGCGTTCCAGGAATGGAAAGGACAGAGGACGACGGTTAGTTTTTTTTTATTTTTTATTGATTGATTATGCTTTCCCTAGATTTTAAATTTGCTTTTTTTTGGTCCTTTAACTCTTATGAATCTGCAGATGAAGCTACTTCATAGTATGTTATGCGAGTATTAGTGTTTTCCCCATTAAAATTAGAAGTGTTTGGGGCCCAACATGCTGGCACAAGTTCGCTGCCAATTTGTAGTCTGCTGCATTATAATCCGCATGTATTGTGTTGCACATGATGCGCCTACAAGTTGGCTCTGAGAAGCTATTTTCATATTTTAAATACCCATTTTAGTTGAAATTCACAAGTATTGTGGCGATGACTTGCGTACATGGTTTCGTGAGTTATTCTTAATAACTGGGGTCCACTTGATGCTAAACTATTTCTTCTTATTCTGAAATTTGTGTGCATTCGAAGTTTACTAACGAGGTTGCTTGCATTACAGGTTTACTCGAAGAAAAAGCGTTAAATTTTAGTCTTTGTGTGCAAACTAATCTTATTCTTTTGCACCATCAAACAGGAAAATCTAGTTATGCTTTTCTTATACGGTAATGCCAGTGATTTAGCAAAATGAATATTATGGTTTCTCTGCACTGGCAAAGGTTGAGATATAGTTCTTTCTTCCTCACTATTCTGGTGCCTCTTCCAGCCATTTGTTGTTCCTGTTCTACAAAGTGCCTCATCATTGTTAAATTAGGGGTTGGTTTGGGCTTTACGTGCACAC